AGTCCGGCACCAGGGCGGCAGCACCCCTACGTCGCTCCTCGCGCTGGCTCCGGACTCGTCGCGGCGGCAGCTGGCTCGCGTGTGTGCCTCGCGCGTGAACGGCCAAGGCACTTCTTGGCGGTGTCGCTGAGGTGGTGCAGTTTCTTTGTTAAATACCTTTTACGAACCAACAGGATGAAACTTTCAACGTCGGTTTTTATTTTTTGACTCTCGGCAGTCACGGTGACACTTGACAAACTTCCTTTGCTCTGTGCACGTCGATTGGAACTTTCACAGTTTTTTTAAAGAAAGGAACAAGAAAGCAAAACGTGTTAAAAGAAAAGGCGGAAAAGAATATTCAATAAAATATCTAACTTGATACAATCTGTTCCCTTCGTATGACTGTCCGTTCCATGTGAAGAATAAGGTCTCTGCGTCTTTTATGTCACCTCAGAAAATTAGGGACGTCCCAGAAGATTTCCATCTCGACACCCGTGCTTTGTTTGCACTACCAACTTAGTCGTTCATGTTCTGATTAGAGGAAAGTAAAGATCGAGTATCTGATTTTTCTTTTTTCTTTTTATTTATTATTATTATCATATGTATTTCACATTATCTTGATAATTTTCTAATTGCCTAATTTCCCTTTACCATACAAAATACCAGCAACTACATAAGAGAAACAAAGACAAGAAACCAAAATAAAAACGAAGCAGAGTAAAATATCCTCTCGAAATATCACACAGAACCCTCCCTCCGTCGCAGAAAAAGTGGACAAGCAACGGCAAGACATCCAAAGACAGACGATCCCCCGACGTCATCCTCCTTCGCATTCCCTCACAAGTATTCCACCTCTCCAGACTCGCCCCCTTTTTTCTGGCCTCTCACTCTCTCGTCTCTTTTTAACCTTAGGAACTATCAGCGCGCATCCTGGCCGTCTCGGGAACTTCTGACGGGGACCCAGAATGAGCCAAACTTGATTCCCAACTATGTCTCTGAGGTGATGTCTGCGCGGCCAATGTTTTTCTTTGCTCTCGCTCGTAATGTGTTGGTTTTGAGAAGTGCTCCTGCTGCGTCCTGTTTCAGTTGAACTTTTCTCCTTGCAGCTCGATGGACTAGCTTGTGTGTATATAGGCTGCACTTCTTTCTGTCGGACGAATCAAATATCAGAGATAAACATTTTATAGTTAATGTAAAGGATCTGTTTCCTTTGTTTTGTTGAAACAAAGAAAATAAGAGATGTTTGTTGTACAAATTCTCAACGTTTATACTGAACAGAGGGCCGTTATATTTATATTCTAAACTCCCTTACATGTTGTAACGAATTGGAGACTTCATTCCGATAGAGCTGAAATATTTAGAACCCGAGTAAATCAAGACATTAATATTAAGGGCTTCAGTGTGTCTAGACCGTAGTGTAAAAGATTTCGTGGTTTCCCAAATCCTCCATCTTATTCCTTCAGTATTTCAAGATCTTGCCATCCCCAGCCCGCAGCCGTTCCCTGCTCCCGAGGCTTTCCCAATGCAACTGGTAGTGTATGATTATCTTATCTTTTTTAGCTGCTCCGTATAAATCGTATTTTAGTAAAATTCATATGTATAGGAAGACGGTAGGTTTATGCTTGTAAATAGACTTAAAACCCCAGCACTAAAGGCTCACAAATATTTCAAAATTTGTATGTAATAATACACGTGTATAAGACGTCCATCCGAAAAATATAGTTTTACGGTGTGATGCTAATGAAGGTCTTTGCTCTGACGCACGCCAAGGGCTAACTTAGAGGTAGAGATAGTAGTAATCAGTGTTACTGTACCAACCAATAAACTCATTCACGTCTGTGAAACTTTGCGCAGATTGTCTCCTGAAAAGACCTAGATTTTCTTAAAGGGCGATATCTCACGTCGTACATCTGCATCCTCCCTTGACTCATTCATCACACTCATCATCACGGACGCCACAGACGCCAGACTTCCTGCCACGACTCTCGCTCTCCCGTCCACCATGCTCGAGCCTCCCTTGTCGGCCGCCGAGGCGCTCCCGGCCGCCCTCAAGAAGGAAGCCTCGGGGACTCGCGCTCGTTTCGGCGGGAACGACACCGCCGGCGACCCCGAAGGAGGCTTCGACGGGGCAGACAAATACGTTGCTCAACAAGGCTATCAGGGAAGGGCCGGGCAGGAGGGGGCCCAAGCAGGAGGTCTACAGACAAACGCGACTCCTGCAGGAGGCGCCCGCAGGAACCGCGCGGGAGAGGAGGAGGAGGAGGAAGCTGTCCCTGCTGGAGGTCGCCCTTCGCGCCTCATAAACCTCATGTCCTGCATCGGTCCCCGCGACAGTCCTCTCTACTTTTTCTCTTCCTCTGCGCCTTCTCTTCCCTCCTCTGCTACTCGCCCTTCCTTTTCCCCTCCCCCCTCCTCCTACGACCCGCCCCCCGCCTCCACCCCCTCCTTCCCGATGATGTTGGCGCTGCAGAAGACGCTGGCGGTGCTGGTGGCGGTGACCAGCATCCTCGCCCTCATCACC